ATTCAAACCAGTGGTAAATCTTGACAGATTTTGTTTAAATCCACAGTTAGGAGACTTATTAAGTGTTTCTTACTCACAAACTCTTAAATGCCTGGAGGTTTAAAAAGGGCTACTTACCATTCAAATATGGATGTGCAGAACTCTGAGTGTTGTAACTTGCAAGCACATGATGAAATCAAATGGGTTTTGAGACTGTGAAGATGTCTTTTGGGGAGGGGTGAATGGCTCATTTGTTCAACCACACGTACAGGGTATCTGCATTCCGTGGAACATTTTCAGTGCTGGAAGAACATGCCTGGCAGATTCAGGAAGAGTGTTGGTGTCATGGAGCTTTCTTTCCTGGGGGATGCATGATCAGTAAGCATACATTGTACTGTGATAAATATGATAAAGAGTAAAAAAGAAACATATAATGGGATATAGACTAGGATCTATATCAGATACTTTACAAATTGCTGAGGAAAGAAGACCTCAGAAGAACAACTTAGGGGAGAAAGGGTTTGTTCTGGCCTACAGTTCAAGGGTAGAGTCCACTGTAGTGGCAGGAGATTGAAGAGGCAGCTAGTCACATCCATCCAGAGTCAGGAAGCAGAGAGTGGTGGGTGATGGTTCTCAGCTTTTGTATTTTCATGTGGTCTGGTATTGAAGCTCAAAGAATGTCACCAGCCACTTTTAGTGTGGGTCTCCCTATGTCAATTAACCTAACCTTGGTAATCCCTGACAGGCATGTCTAGAGCCTTGTGTACTAGAGAGTCTAGATTCTGTCAAGTTGGTAATGAACACTAATCATCCCTGGCAGCGAAGAAGATGTGACATTTCACACACATTCATCAGGAAAGATCTTGTTGGGAGGCAAATAGGCTTAACTCCTCTAATGAAATAAAAGCAGTGGTTTGCACACAACAGAAGGTTATTTCTCATTTGTATTAACAATCTAAGAAGGGTATTCCAAGTCTGTGGTTCAGGGAACCAAGCTCCTTCAAAGATCTGAAATGCACAGTACCTTTGGACCTTGACATGCCAGTGTCACAGCTGAGCTACACATTCAGATCTCAGGCAAAGAAAAAACAGAAAAGACACATGGACTCCCAAAGTCATTGGCTCAGAAGTGACACTCTCCATGGCCACTCTCGATTGGTGAGATCTTAGTCATATGGCCACATAACTGCAAGAACCCCTTAGCGATACAGGAGTTATGATATCTACCACAGGATTCACTGCAGTAAGCGGATGAAAGATGAAATGGTCTTAGACAAGAAAGGGAGCCACAGAGGTAGCGGGGAATGACCATATTCAGGATTAACTGGATGTGCAGATGGAACAGAGGTTGAAGTGAGACAGAAGTCTGCAGGAATATTAGCTGCTTGTAGATAGCCTATCATTCACTCAGTCTTCAAAGAAGATTTGGGAAGAATAGATTTTGGGTTTAGCTATGTTAAGTTTGAGGGACTTAGCAGCCTGCCCAGGGGAAGTGTTGGCAAGGCAATTAGATATTGAAACTTAAGTTCAAAGATGACCCAAACTTAGAGTTCTGAGCATATGGCTAACATTTAAAGCACTGGACAAGATGAATGTTCTTAGAAGTGGGTGCACAGGGAAAAAGAAGGGTGCTGAGGACTGGACATGCAGATGCTCCGGTAGTTTTGAAGGAGGAGAGGAAAGAACAAAGGAGACCACAAAAGGATGAAGAAGAAAAGGTGGGGTACACTGGAGAAGAAGGCATTTCAAGGAGATCTGATGTAGTCAAACAGGATGAGTGGGGCTTGAATTAGATTCAGATCATTGGCAAGCTTGGTAAAAGTACTTAGTGGCATCAGGTATCTCCAGAGTGGATTAGTGAAGCAAGGTGTGATGATACATGTCTCTAATCTTGGCACTTGAAGGCTGAGGTAGGAGGATTGCAAGTTTGAGGCTACCCTGGCTACACAGTAAGACCTTGTCTCAAAAACAAAGAGTAGATTGAAAAATATTGAAAAGATAATGGGCTGAAAATACTGTCTTAGTTTGTATTTTATTGCTGTGAAGAGACACCATGACCAAGCCAACTCTTATAAAGAACAACATTTAATTGAGGCTACCTTACAGGTTCAGAGGTTCGGTCTATTATCATAATAGCAGAAATCGTGGCAGCATCTAGGGAAGATATGGTGCTAGAGGAGCTGAGAGTTTTTCATGTTGATCCACAGGCAACAAGAAGAGATTTGAATACACACATACACAACACACACACATATATATTGTTGTGTTAGGTTACCTGTGATGACAACCTTCAAGTGTAGTAAACAATATTTAATATCCCATCCTGGGGCTTCTTCTCTTCCTTAGACCATGTATGCTCCCAGATGAAAGACACACACACAGCCTTCACATTTTTAATATGCCTCAGGCAGCACAATAGCTAGGCTTCTGCCTACCTTCCATGCTGTTAGAATCTACTTTTGATAACCCCAAGTTGTCACTTATTTACTGTGTTCCATTTGGGCTGCTTGTAACCCAATTGGGCACCCCTCTGGGCCACTTATCCCATGTTCTCTTGGCTCTTATCCCATGGCTGCCCTCCTTCTCCCTCCTGCACATTCTTCTTCCATGGTAGCTTCTTCCTGCTCCTTCTAGCTCTTTCCAGCTCCTTCCTTGCTCTCTCCAGCAAGCCTGGGGTTGGGGGGACCTCAACCCCACCTATGTCTCTTCTGCCAAGCTATTGGCTGTTGACATCTTTATTTACCAATCAGAATCAACCAGGGGCAGGGTCCCAGGGGCTACATGCAGACTCCAGGTCTTAGGACCCACACTTAGCATTACAATAGACAGTAAAAGACAAAAACCCAACCCTCAAGTGTGACTAAGTTAGGAAAAATTGAAGTGAGTGAAAGAAAAGATTGCAGGAGTGAAGTTTCAAGGAACTGAGAGGAGGATGCTGAGTGTGTTATTTATATAAAAGTTACCACAACCAGTGGTGGAGTGCTGACAGAGGAAGATGGCAAGGTGCAAGCTGACATCTTTACTCAGAGAAGGGCAAGAGACAGGTAACCAGGAAGATGGTAAAAGCTACAATGATAAAGGGCAAAGTGATAGACTTTCTGTTGCTGTTAACAAATCCCCAAGGAAAGTGAGTTAAAGAGAAGTGTCAGTTGCTTTATCTTTTAGTGGCTTTATCTAAAGTGGCTTTCGCTATCACTGTTGGATGTGCTCCTTCTGGCCTGAAGTGTTGCAGACATCACAGGGGTAGGCACATGTAGATCAGGCTAGTCACCTCATAAGGATAGTAAGCAGTGAGAGAAAGACAAGAAATGACAGGGAACAACGTACACCCTCAGAGGCACACCCCCACCTGAGTTACCTCCTTCCTCCAACCAAAACACTGTTCTAATGGTTCTCTCCGAATAATGTTTTCAAGTTATGAAACCATCAATGGTTAGTCCACTTATGACGTCATGGCTCTCATGATCCAATTGCTTTCCATGAAAATACATCAGCAGGCAAGTAAGCCCCCAGTACATGAGCTTGTAGGGACCTTTCATGTTCAACCATACTAGTCTAGGTATAAAGTAATGTGGTTAATCTGATATGCTTCAGAGGGGCTACCTCTGCTTCCATGTAGTTTGGTTTGGGTTTTTATTTTAAGACATAGTGTCTTTGGGTAGCCCAGGCTGGCCTAGAATTTGTGATCCATGTGCCTTAGCTTCTTGAGCTCTGCGATTACAGATTCTACTAGAACAGCTATACAGAGGCTGTATAAAAGGCACAGGGCCCAGAGAAAAGAGCAGATTTGCACTGAAATGCATATGATTGCCAGCTATAACCCGGAGTCTCAAGATCAATAAGGATCCTGCAGATGTACACCAGGGGGCTTAGAAACGTATAAATAGGTATATGCAAATTCAGATGCGTGTGATAGTAAATTCTGTGGAAAAAAAAAGGAGATGGGACAAAGGAAACATGACCAGTGTGAGGATTTAGGTTTGAGTGGTAGGGAGAACTTTTGTGAAGCAGTGATATTGTCTATGACCTGAAGGGTGGATGGCAGGCAAGCAGAGGGATAAGGGATCTCTGAGAAGTGCATCCCAGCAGGATTCCAGAGACCTTCTACCCATCAGAAGCAGCCCAAGGAAAGGAGAAAACGGATAAATAAGATAGGACCAGGACATGGATGAGGAAGGTCTGAGAGAGGAGCTGGTGCATTCAAGGTACTTTGGCTGAAGAAGGAATTTGATACTGGAAAGAGTTGAAGGAGTTGATACATCTCCTGAGCAGCTAGCTATGGAAGTTCAGTGTCAAAATAAGGCAGAAGCCCACAGCAGAGTCCAGCATTCTCAGGTGTCTGACTCACCATGCGTGACACGCTTGATGAGCAGAGCACATTGTTAAACAAGCTATATGGATTCTCGTGGTTAAATTGAGCATGTCTGGAATCATGTAAACTGAGACAGCAGAGCTAAATAAAACATGCAACTCCGAGAAGCCCCAGTGTCCCTGAAACCCATGACGAAGGGGGTGGGATGTGTATGCATTAGTGCTCAGATCCCTTTGTCAGCTTCTGGTCTATATCTGAGACCAGCCTAAGCTAACTTAAATTACCAGAAGTTAGATGGCAGCAAAAACTATCCTGTTGTAGACAAAAGCCAACCTGGCCCATCAGTTTCAGTGGTCACACCACGACCCAAACACCAGGTGTCCAGCTCCCCTCTTCTGACCCCCTCCATCTGAAAGAGAGGGAAGATCCAGACTTGGGGTTCCTCCAAATGACAGATACAGACAAATGTGCAGTAGACTGGGGCGGCTCCCAGTTCTACTCTGGCCTTTCTTCCTATTCTTTTCAGGTCTGTGCTGGTGTGAGACCAGAAGTCCTTCATCCTTTCTTCTCTGTGAGCAAAGTAATAGGAGCTAGCTCTAGGCTGATTCACAAAATCAGGGGACATGAGTGTGTAGGTATTTACTTATAAAAATAGAGGAGGGTTAGTAGTAAGTTACCAATAAAGGATGTGGCTAACTCATTTTTTTAGATTTCTTTCTGAAATGCAGACTTCAGGAACAAGAGATCCAGAGGAGACCAAGTGCTCTCTATGCTTGCATGTGTAACCCCTGGGTCTCCCTGTTAGGGGTGAGTAATTTCATCTTGATCACAGTGTCCCTGAGAACTCAGATGAAGGGGTGTGCGTGTGTGATTTGGGGGAAGGAAAAGTATTAATTAGCATCGACATAATTGAGTTGCTTGATTTATTGGAATTAAGGTGAGACTGCCATGGCAAGATTTACATTTAATGAACCACTCATTTTAATCAATTATCTGCTATTCAAGTAATCATATCGGATAAGCTCTGGGCTACTGATTTCATGATAATTTGTTGATTGTAGGGAAGAATGGGGCACTAAAATAATGTGATAGTTAATCTTAAATGTCAAGATGTCTCCTAGAATGGACTGGGAGACAGGCTTTTTGGCATATCTGTGGGGTTTATCTTGATCAACTGAGGTGGGAAGAACTGTCCACTGTGGGTGGCACCTTTCCTTAGGCTGGGATCCTGGACTGGATAAAAAGGAGAAAATGATCTGTACAAGCATTCTTTACTCTCTGCTCTGGACTGTGAGTACAGTGTAACTAACTGGCTGCCTCAGGTTCCCAGTGTTGTGACTCCTCACCAAGATGGACTATGACCATGAGCTTCTGTGAGGCAAAATAAACTCTTCTTTAAGCTGCTTTTGTCAGAATAGTTTATCAAAGCAACAGGAAAAAGTAACTAAGACAGACAGAGCGTCTGCTTGTTGGTGGTTTTGATTAAGGGGGTGACTTTTAAAAGGATATTTCCCCCCAAACTTGCTTGAGAAAGTATATAGTTACTTTCTCATTCCAAAATCCAGAATCACGGTTCTAGATCCTGATTGTAAAATTGACAATTGACACTAACCATCACAATTCCACCCCTTGTCAGTCTAACAACCAAACCACTAACTTTAAAGCCATAACTTTCCACCCTTTGTCATCTCATGCTTTTGACCATTTCATAATGTAGGATGTGTTTACTTCACCTCAAAAGGCCCTGTATTCTTTCACAGTTTCAACAGTGTTTAAAGTCCAGTGTCAAAGTCTTCACCCTGAACTCCTGCAAAATTAAAACAAATTACATACTTCTGATATGTGATGGCACAGGATAAGTAGTTTCATTACAAAAGGAGGGAATTGGCTCCTAGGAAAAAATGATCAGAACAAAGCAAGATCAAAATCCAGCAAAGCAAACACCAAGTCCTGCAGCTTCGTGTCTGCCATGTTGGGGCTATAGAAGCATATGGGCTCAAAAAGGCTTGGATAGCTCTACCCAGATAGCTCCTCTGCCTGTGGGAACTTAATCTTTTTATTCTCAGGTCCGCTGTACTCTATACCTATAGCTTTCCCCAACAGACAGCTCATGGTTCCGGCATCTCCAGTATCCTGGGCCCTTCCTTGTAGCTTAGGCGTCTTCTCACAGTTTCACACTATGACCTGGCAAGGCCTCTGTATAGAGGCTCCAACCTTGCAACACACTTACAGGTCCCAACGTCTCTCTGGAACTGTGGTTCAACACAACAACCCCACCCCTAGTCTTGCATCTTTCATGCATTTGGAACCAGTACCACATGAATAATGCTGCCAAATTCTGCTGCCAGCTTGGGAGGCAGCCCGGCCTCCTTGAACAACAGTTGTATCAGCTTTTGTGTGCTAATCCTGGGAAACCAAGTCTCTAGGCATGTGCTTTTGAGAATGGGGAACCTGCTTCAGTGGCAGTCTCTATTTTAATTTATGCTCTATTCTTTCAAGTAAATGTGTGTTTTCCCAAAATGGAGCCTTTGATGGGTTGAGTCTTGTCCTGAGGAGGTATTGCCTCTTGTTCCATTACAAAGCAAAATGCTTCTCTTTAATAGTTTTTTCAGCATGTGCCTTGGGTTCAACCTGTTCAAACTCTTATTCTTGACAAACACACTTTATTTCTACCTTTATTCTCAACTCTTTGTACTTTTTCACCGTACACCTGAATAAATGCACAGAAAGCCATCGTACTATAGCCTGAATGCTTTGCTGTCTTAAAATTCCTCCACCAAACAAATTAATTTATCATCTTTAAATTCAACTTCACTTACATCCTTAGGGCATGGGCAAAATGAAGCCACAGCCACAGTATTGGTTAAAATGTCATTGCCTTCAAAAACATCAGAAGCTAGGTCTCCACTGTCTACATTTCTTTTGGCATTCTGATCTTCCAAGCTCCTAGAAGAATGGCCCACTACTCTTTACTTACTGTATTCAAAGGCTTTACAATCACAAAGTTCCAGATACTTCTACATTCTACCTGTAGAAGCAGTTCTAAAGTGCTAAGAACCATGTGGTCAGGTTCATCACAGCAGCAACCCCACTTCTGGTACCAATTTTCTATAACAGTTAGGTGTCTTGTTACTCTAACAAAAGCAGTTTAAGAGGAAAGAGGCTTATTTGTGCTCATTGAGGGTAGAATCCATTATGACAGGGAATCCTTGCAGCAGGAGCTTGAAGTAGGCAGTCACATTGTATCTATAATCTGAAAGCAGAAGATCTGTGCTCAAGTGGCTTTCTCCTTTTCATTCAGTCTAGGACTCAAGCCCAGTGATGGTGTCACCTTCCTTTGTACTGTATTTTAACACCTCAGTAAACCTAATCAAAATAATCTCTCACAGCCATGCCCAAGGGCTACCCTAATCTAAATAAATTCCTCACAGACATGCCTACAGGCTTGGTTCCTGGGCAATTCCAGATCCTGTTAAGTTAACATCCAACACAAGCCATCTTAGTTTGCTTTCTTTGGCTGCAATAAACACTATGACCAAATACAATTTGAGGAAGAAGGGCTTTATTTCATCTTACAGTTTATAGTCCACCATGAAAAGATGTCAGGGCAAAAACTCAAGGCAAGACCCTGGATACAGTAGTTGATGTAAGGCCATGGAGGGATGCTGCTTACTAGTTTCCTCCCTATGGCTTGCCCAGCTTGCTTTCTTATACAACCCAGAAGCACCAGGCCATGATGGGTACTACCTGCAGTGGGCTGGGCCCTTCCACATCAATCAACAATATTTTTTTTAAAAAATGCCTAGAGGCCAATTGGATGGGGGAATTAGCTCAGTTGGGTTCTCTATTCCCAGATGGCCCTAGTACAAGTTGACAACAAACAACCCAATCAGTACACTACCACTGTAAGATTGTATTATAAGTAAGCTTCAATTATTCAGACTTTTACAGAACTGTCTCCTGAGGTTCTAGCCTCCTGTTCTTATCAGCACCATTACATGACTTACTCTTCCTATCCATGTCTGTAGGCTCTTGCATCACTGCTCATCATGTTTGTGATCCAGTGGCTCTATACCCTAGCTAGCATGGGTGTTGCTGCCCTTGTGTATTTCTACATTGGTCAGGCCAGTCCAGGCCTTTACCTTGGTAAGTAGCTAAGTCATTGTGCTACCATTTCCATTATTTTTTCTAGCTTTCACAGAAGAACTTTGAAATATGACATAGACCCAACTTATAAATAAAATACACTAGCAATTAATTGATATGTATAAGACCTATAGAACTAAAATGGATGGCATCAGTAGTGAAAGAGCCAAGAAAGATAAAAATATGTTGAAATAAAGTATGCTGATGTAGCATAATATTATACACTTGCTGTGCTATGAGTGAATGCTATCATATCATTTGAAGATAGAGTGGGTTAAGTTTAAGATATAAACCCAGAGCCAACTACTAGATAATATAGTGGAGAGTTACACCTAATAAGTCAACAGAGGTTTTTAAAAAAATGTATAAGAAAAGAAAAACCAAAAACTTGGAGAGATGGCCCAGTGGGTAAAGGGATTTGCTGAGAAGCTTGAAAACCTGAGTTTGATCCTCTGACTTACATGGTAGAAAGATGAAACTGACTCCTTTGAGGTCAAAGTTATCCTTTGACCTCCACACAGATACTGTAGCAGGTGTGTGTGTGTGTGTGTGTGTGTTTGTGTGTGTGTGAATACATGGAATAAATAAAATAAGTAAATATAATTTAAAATTTAAAGCATATCAAAGACAGAAAAGAGTAAAAAATAAATATAATATTTACTGATAAAAATAAAACAAAGACATGACATGTGAGATTATGAGCAACAAAAATGGAAAGACAGCAGGTTCTAGGTCTGCCTGAGCTACACAAAGAACTACAGTGATCTATGTAAGCCTGTCTATATTGATCATCACAGTCTTAACACCCATAATTAAATGGTAGCTAAGTAAGATAGTGGCCCAACTGTATGCTGTCTGCAAGAAACTTCTTTTAATTGATGAATTTATTTTTGCAGTGTTGGAGATCAAACTCAGGGCCCGTGTATACTATGAAAGTGCTTTGTCCTTGAACTACATCCACAGCTAAAGAAATCTGTTTTATATTTTTAAAAACACACAAATAGGTTGAAAATAAAAGGATGTGAAAATATATACCAGGCTAACTCCAATCAAAATATAGCCACTAGAGTGGCTACATTAATATCAAGGTAGGATTCAGAGGAAAGGCTGTTGCCAAGGATCAAGTGAGTCACTTGATAAAGATGAGGGTGAAAACTCATGAAGAAAACATAATAAACATGCCCTTAAAAACAGAGCTTTAACCAGGTGGTGGTGATATAAGCCTTTAATCTCAGGAGGCAGAGGCAGGCAGATCTCTGTAAGTTTGAGGCCAGCCTGGTTTATAGAGTGAGTTCCAGGGCAGCCAGGGCTACATAGAGAAACCCTGTTTCAGAAAATCAACCAACCAAACAAACAAAAACAAACAGAACAAAACAGAACAAAGCAACAACAACAAAAACAACAAAACAGAGCTTTGAAGTACATGGAAGCAGAATTTTATAGAATGAAGAAAAAATAGAAAAGATCATACCACATAGATTCAGCATCTGCCTCCCAATAGTTGACACATGTAGCAATAAGGTTAGCAAGGCCATAGAAGGCTTGAGCAGTACTGTCAACAGGCTTGTCCTAATCTCTGTAGAATTCACATTCTTTTCAGTAACAGGAAACACGAGGATATTACAAACATTTCAGTAAATTTAAAAGCATTCAGCTCAATTGAATAAAATATTTCTCCAAAGGGGGAAGTGATCAGAAATTAGTAACAGGAAGATAACAGGAAAATTTGCAAATATTTAGATGCTGAAGAACGTTAAATACGTAAGAGCAGTGAGTAAACTATAGAAACCAGCAGGTTTCAAAGAGGAAAACAACTAAAATGATAAAATATTTTGAGCTGAATGAAACCAAAAAATGCAGAATATCAAAATTGTAAGGTATAGCTAATGTCATCAAAAATGAAAGTTTTCAAAATACTGACCTCTGAACTCAGCTTTAAGCTTAAGAAATTAGAAAAGAAAAAAGAAAAGAAGAGGAAAAGAAGGAGGAAGAGGAGGAGGAGGAGGAAGAGGAGGGGAGGAAAATTAAATCCAACGTGGCAGTGAGGGGGGAGTAGGGGTGGGGATGGGACAAGGACATAATAAATATCATAGTAAAAATCAAATAGATACCAGAGAGAGAGAGAGAGAGAGAGAGAGAGAGAGAGAGAGAGAGAGAGAGAACATCAACCATGTTAGTTACTTTCCTGTTGCTGTGAAAAACACATGAAGAAGACAAGTTACAGAAGGAAGGGCTATTTGTGCTTACGGTTCCAGGGGGTAAGAGTCCATCACGGCAACAAGTGGTAGACATGGAGGCAGGCACGATTGCTGAGAGCTCATACTTAAACAACAAGCACAAAGCAGAAAGAGAGTACCAAGAACGGAGGGAGATTCTAAAACCTCAAAGCTCACCCTTAGTGATGTATCCCCTCCAGCAAGGCTACATTTCCTAAACTCCCCCAACAGCACCACCAGCTAGGGACCAAGTGTCTAAACCCTTGTGCATATGTAGGACATTCTTTTACAAACTCTCACACCAGGGAAACAAATCATTGTGCCAGAAGAGCAGTAGAATCAGTAGACTTCTGGCCAGACTGAGCAGAATAAGGTAAAATACAAATGACCAAAATCAGGAATAAACATATCGTTGGAGAGTCTATACATATCAAGGGGAAAATAGCTGAGTGTGGCCCTGCACACCTTTATTTATTTATTTATTTTATTTTATTTTATTTTATTTTATTTTATTTATTTTTTTGGTTTTTCGAGACAGGGTTTCTCTGTGTGGCCCTGGCTATCCTGGAACTCACTCTGTAGACCAGGATGGCCTCGAACTCAGAAATCCACCTGCCTCTGCCTCCCAAGTGCTGGGATTAAAGGTGTGTGCCACCACCGTCTGGCCCACTGCACACCTTTAATCCCAGCACTGGAACCCACTCCCTAGATAAATAACTCACTCCCAGTTTAGAGCATTGTGGGTCTATGTTTTGCCCCACTGCTGGGGAAGTGAAACCAAGAATGCTAGCCTGCGTTTACACTGTGCCACCATTGGTGCTGGGCTTTGGGAAGCTCTGAGACACTGCTCGGGGTGGAAAAGCACAGCCTAGGATGTGGGTAGCCGAAGCTGGGGTTCCCAAGCTCCTGGGCATCCAGTTACCACTGGAAAATGTCACAGAGGAGTTGGGAACGAAGTGTTGGGGGTCCACAGACCAGCAATGAGGCAGGGTCTAGGTCTCCAAACTCCTGGATATCCAGGCATACCACTGGGTCATGTGGAGTTGGGAATGGAGTTGGGGGGTGGGAGGCTGCTGGCTGATGATGAGCCCAGGCTGGAGGAAGAGGAACTTCTGCTTAGCTCATTAGCTCATTGGTGATTGTCCTTAGCTTGGTGGTGGTTGTCTGAGAGTGCAGAGGGGCCTTCTGCAGGAGGCTTAGACAGTGCCCTTCGGTAGTCCGAAGGCCTTCTCCATGCTCCCCATGGCAGTTCTTGATGAAAAAGACAGTCCTTGGTTCCAAACTGTTTATTGGTTGTTCATCATGGAAAATGTGTGCACACCACCTCCTCAGGGTGAAGCAGAGATTAAATACCCTTTGCAGGAAGGAATGTCTGGGAAGGGAAGCTTATTGGCTAAACCCTCAGGGTCTCTAGATACCTCATTAGCATGGAGAACTCTGTTCTAGGTTATGTGACAGAAATGGGAAGTGTGATCCAGGAATCTAGTAGGGACCAGGGAAACACCTACTGTCTCAGGTAGGTACCTGGGACTCACTCATCCTTATCAAGTTTTCTGCCATGGTCCACTGTCCCATAGAGTATCACTCTGGTTATGAGAACAGAATCACCATGGCTGAACCACCTAAGGATCCTCATGTCTTACATAAGAGATTAAGTTCCCACATATAAACACTGGGGGAGACATCAAGGCAAAGCACATAATTTTTATCTCTGTAATAAAGCAATTTTAAAGGTATATTAACAGCTGAGTAATACTCCATTGTATAAATGTACCATTTTCATTACTTGTTCATCTGTTGATGGACATCTAGGCCATTGTACATTCATACAATGGAATATTAGTCAGCCATTAAAGATGAAATTATGCAATGCACAGGTAAATGAATGGAACTGGAATCATCGTGAGGTGACCCAGACTAAGAAAGACAAATGTTGCATGTTTTTTCTTATATATGGATGCTAGCTTGAATTCTTTAGATTCTTGGGGTTCATTTGAAATATCCATGGAGATTAGGAAAGTAGTAAGGGGCCACTGGGGGTGTGCTTTTAAGAGAGGGGACATAGAATAGAGCAATATAAAAGAGGAAGAGAGAATAAGAGAACAGGAAGGATTAAAGGAAGTAGGAGATGGGAGGGCAGGGTAGATGAGAAATTATGGGGAAGGATAACTAACACTTTTGAAAGAAACATTCTTACTATTGTAGAAGTTTCATAAAATATACATATAGACATATAAAATAGTTTAAAATAGAATTGCCCTTGACGGGATAATACTCCAACAAGATACCACAAGCCACAAGAAAATAACCCCGGTACCAGAATGGGATACCTCTTTTTAAACCATGGGCCAGTGAGGTCCCATAGAACCTCAAACATTATAGGTGGTTTCTACTATTCTTTGTTTCCCTCTTGAATCTGGCTAGCTTTCACGGTGCTGGAAGGTGTCATGCAGGCTACTGGAAGAGAAAGGTACCATCAGTCCCACCCAGCTGCAAACTCTGTGACCTACAGTAATAGCTGACCCCTCAGGATATGCCCGCTAGGGCAATAATGGCACAAATGTCATGGGAGTAACCAATCACCTTCTAATTAACCTAAAGTCCACTCCAAGAGATGGAACCTGCTTGTGGAACTGTAATGGGGCCAAGAACCTGTGGATGGATAAGTTAGGGAGAGGCCCCAGGGAACAACCTAACACTGCTAAATAGACAAAGTACTAAAACAACTCCTAATGACCTACTGCTACACCCAAAGATCCTGTCAGCCCTCATCAGAGAAACTTTTTTCTTGAACTAGTTGGCAATTAACAGAGACCCTCAACTAGTCACCATATAGAGAATAGGAGACTGTAGAGTAATTATCCCTAAATGGGACATACATATCCTACTTCTTACTTCAAAGCTCAGAATCTTTTCTAGACAGAGGCTGGAAGACTGTAAGAGAGAGGTGGTTGATAATATAGTCTCTTCCAGACACAACAGGGCAGTTGCACTAACATCCTCACAATGCTTGCGACTCTATGCACGAGACTGTATGCAAGCCCAACCAGCCAAAATTCTAGTGTGGACAGACAGGGGTAGAAACAAAATTCCACCACTAGATAAGGTGCCAATGACATGTGAAAGCTACTGGGATAGGGAAAATAAATTTTGTTTTTTATTTGTGTCATTTTTTGTTGTTGTTGTTGTTCTTGTTGTTTTCTTCAAGACAAGGTTTCTCTATGTAGTCCTGGCTGTCCTGGAACTCACTCTGTAGACCAGGCTGGCCTTGAACTCAGAAATCCGCCTGCCTCTGCCTCCCAAGTGCTGGGATTAAAGGCGTGCGCCACCACAGCCCTTGTGTCTTTTTTTCTTTTGGAAAAAGCCCTGGCTGACCTGGAATTTACAATGCATAGACAGGACTGACCTTGAATTCCCTGAGATCCACCTACCTCTGCCTCCCAAGTTTGGGGATTAAAGGCATACACCAACATACCCAGCCTGAGAGCCAGTTTTCTTTAATCCTGTGACCTCTAGTAGGTTGACCACACTCCAGGGTCACCCACACTCCCATTAACAGTGGGCAACACAAGTTAATGGGTTTGAAGAAGAAGAAAACTAAAAGTGTGAGTGGATCTGGAAGGAGTTGAGAACAGTGAATATGATCAAAATTCATTATATGAAATTCTTAAATATTTAATAAAAATATTATTTTTTCAAAGATCTGTTGAAGAGGGACTAGAACAATGGCTTGGCAGTTAAAAGCACCTTCTATGCTTGCAGAAGGCCCAAGTTCATCTTCCAGAACCCATATGGGGCAGTTCACAACCTCCTGCAACTCCAGGTCTGAGGGATTCAATGTCCTCGTCTGTCCTGAACTCCTGTGAGCACACCCACATACAGAGACATTGTGAAAAATGAAAAGAAATATTTTTAAAAGATGTGTTAGACTGCCGGGCAGTGGTGGCACACACTTTTAATCCCAGCACTTGGGAGGCAGAGGCAGAGGCAGGTAGATTTCTGAGTTCAAGGCAGCCTGGTCTACAGAGTGAGTTCTAGGACAACCAAGGCTACACAAAGAAACCCTGTCTTAAAAAACAACAACAACAACAAATTAAAAATAAATAAATAAATAAATAAAATAAAAAGATGTGTTAGAGAACTAGAGTGCTTGCATAGTCTGCCCAATGTCCTGTCCTGGGTTCAGTCCCTAGCAACACACAGGAATCTGCACACACACAGACAAACACAAGGGACCGTTTCCAGAAAACTCTATGATTCTACAATTTAAAATAAAGCAATTAATATCACCAGATGTAGTGATACATATCTTCAATTCCAACACCCAGGAGACAGACACAGGTAGATTGCTATGAGTTCAGGGCCAGCCTAGTCTACGTAGTGAGTTCTAGGCCAGCTAGAGATACATAGTAAGACCCTATCTCAAAAGGAAAAAGAAGTAATTAATATCAAGTCCTAACTAAAAAGGTCTTCAGATTTATGGTATATATAGTTTTACAGAAATGCACTTTAGATATCTAAAGTGAAAGCATGTACTAAAAATAATGTCTTAGAAAACCAGTGATGCTAGGAAGAGGTCCTATATAATTTAATTTCATAGATAGAATATTTAAATTAACATAATGATTATATCAATAATTGTTTTACCTTAAGAAATTTAAATATTTTCCCAGAAATCTCATCACAGTAAAGTATAAAATAAAATTCCAGGCCAGTGTCTATAATTTAGATAATTTAGAATTTAAGTGATCATATAAGTCAGATCAGTTAATAGCTGTCTTATTTTGATTTTGTAGCTTCTTATAGAACATATATTACCTGAATATATTAGAAGTCACCTCTCCGAGATTACATACACTAAGACAGATCAGTAATATTTGTTCTGTCTTACAGCAGGAGCCCTACAGGATACCAAGATGAGATTTTAACATAAGCATCTTAAAATACTGCTGATTTCCTGTTCATACATTAAACAGGATCTGACCAGTCAATTTCAACTATATCTGTTCATGCAATTGAGAGATTTTTTTTTTCCTGGTTCTTTGAGATAAGGGTTCTCTGTGTTAGCCTTAGTTGTCCTATCGCTCACTCTGTAGACCAGGCTGGCCTTGAACTCATAGAAATCCACCTGCCTCAGCCTCCCAAGTGCTGGGATTAAAGGTGTGTACTTCCATGCCTGACTAAGGAATGTTGGGGTTGTTTTGTTTTGTTTTGTTTTTTTGGTTTTTCAAGACAGGGTTTCTCTGTGTAGCCCTGGCTGTCCTGGAACTCACTCTGTAGACCAGGCTGGCCTCGAACTCAAAAAAGAAATCTGCCTGCCTCTGCCTCCCAAGTGCTGGGATTAAAGGCGTGCGCCACCACTGCCTGTCGAGGAATGTACTTTTTAAAAACATGTTTGATTAATTTTTCCAAAGTTACACAAAATTTAAGCTAAGCACTTGGAATGCCGAGAAAGGAAGGCCATTAAATTCAAGGCCAGTGTGGGCTAGAGTGAAAACTGGCCTTGGTGGGGTGGGTAGATTATAGATACCTTACTGTGCCAAGATTGTGGCGGTTTGAATGAAGTGTCCCTCATAGTCTTGGGCATTTGACTACTCGGTCCCAGTTGGTGGTTCTGTTTGGGTTAGGTTTAGAAGGTGTAGCCTGATATATTTACCAGAGCCTGACAAATACAGAGGCAGATGCTCACAGCCAACCGTTGGACTGAGCATGGGATCCCCAATGGAGGAGTTAGAGAAAGGACTGAAGGAGCTGAAGGGATTTGTAACCCCATAGGAAGATCAACAATATCAACCAACCAGATGCCCCAGAGCTCCCAGGGACTAAACCACCAATTAAAGAGTACACATGGAGGGACCCATGGCTCCAGCTGCATATGTAGCAGAGGATGGCCCGGTCGGGCATCAGTGGGAGGAGAGGTCCTTGGTCCTGTGAAGGCTCGATGCCCCAGTGTAGGGGAATGTCAGGGCGGGGAGGCAGGAGTAGGTAGAGTAGGGGAACACTCTCATAGAAGGAAGGGGGGGTGAGGATGGGATAGGGGATTTCCATAGGGGAAATCAGGAAAGGGGATAACATTTGTAATGTAAATAAATAAAATATCCAATAAAAAATCCTGAAAATAAATAAGTCCTAAGAAAAAGAAAGAAAAGAAAGGAGGAAGGGAAGGAAGGAAGAAAGGAAGAAAGGAAGGAAGAAAGAGTAGCCTTGCTGGGGGAAGTGTGTCACTAGGTGTGGACTTTGAGGTTTCTAAAGCCACACAAGATTTTAAAGCCACATGCTGGTCCCAGTTTGATTTCTCAGCTTCCTGATTGTGGTTTAAGATATGAGCTCTCAGCTTGCTGCTCCAGATGCCCCTGCCTGCCTGCTGCCATGCTTCCATGTGGTGATAATATATATAATTATATAATATACAATATAACAATATAATAACCACAAATATACATTATCACATAAATATTATACCGTAGAATTATTATTACATAAATATATCTATCTCACTATATATGTATATTTGAGGCTGACTTTTACTCATATCAGTGTGCCCTATGCAAAGGTTATTTGGCCAGTAATAGAAACAGACAAAACCCTCCCTTCAGCTGCTTCTGTGTGCTGAACTCTAAAACTGCCTAAGTGCTAAATCCTGTGAGTTTGTAGGGATGAGAAGCCATGTTCCCTGTTCTCAGGGTATGGTCCGAGTGGACGATTTCACAGCATGCCTTCAGCACACACAGATGTGAATGGAGGACTGATTGTCATGAAATGTATGTTCATTCTGGAGACAAAAGTCAGCCTGTCATCTTCTCTTGTCTTGACAGTAGGCTCCACCCAGTCTCCTCCTAAGATGTTTGTAGTTTAGATATGAGTGTTTGGAAGCTGGATGTGAGCACAAGTCAGGCTGTTGCCAGGCTGTAAGACACAGTGTTGTTTGATTTGAGTGGAAAAGTGTGCGTGTTTTGTGTATGTACACACATGGGAAAGCTGTCTGTGAGTTTGTTTAAGGGTATGCAAGCCCCTGGTGAAGCTGGGGTTCAAGATGACTAATTTTGTAAAATCCTCAAAACTTATGCCTGTACCTTCTTCGCAGGATCAGCATCAAACTTCAGCTTTTTCCAATGGATGAAGTCCTTCTTGGTCCCCTCCTGCAGGTCTGTGCCCACTGGGGCTGGTACAAGTAGGGATGAGTGTCCCAGAGGCTTGGGAGGTACTGAGTAGTCTTGCTCCTAGCTGTGCTTGGGCCTTGCTTGTGGTGTGGGACCTGACAATGGGAAGCTCCAGGAGGAGGTTGGCATTTGCTCCTCACTGTCCCCTGCACTCACTGTCTCACCACATTCCGTACGGGCACTTGTCCATCACGGTCGTCCGACTCAGTGCCAGGCACTTGGTCCTCTTGCTCTGCCACATCTCTTTCCCAGCTTCAGCTCCTCAGAACCTCCTACAGGCTCATGTCCTCTTCCCTTCCTGTCCTCCCTCATTCCTCATGAGCCAAGCCTTCATCTAGAATCTGATTACCAAGTGACAGGTCACCCGAGTTGATCTCAGTGAGTTTACAGTCAAAGACACATTCCCACCAATACTTAATCATGCCCAAGATCAAAACCCAAGGGAACGTGAAACTGGATCTCCTGCTTCTTGTCTCAGGCCAAAGGTAGTTGGTATCACCACACTGGTGACGGACACTCTAGCCAAGGATGACCATAAATGAAAGGCTGTGGGGGCTGCCGTGTGCCTACCATGCTCACACACACGGAAGGCAACATTCCCTGTGGCCTCTTCCCTGTGACTCCTTCCCACTCTAGTAGGAAGCCAGGACTTCCTCATCCTTTAAGGCCTCGGGGTTCTGGGAACTTCTGCCTTCTGTCCCCTTTTAATAGCAGCATGAAGCCAAAGCTGGGTACCAGGGTTTATTTGGTTGCATTTTGATGGTTTGATTTTGAAACTCTAGATGTCTAGTTTGTGCTTGCCAATACCCGCACTTTCCACACCCAGACATTACTAATTAAGTTTAAGGACCTGTTCCCGTTGATCCCAGTTGTAAGCTTAGAATCCTTTTTCTTTCTTTGTGTCTTCCCCTCTTAATTATCTGTAAGGATATATTCATGGTATTAAATACAATCATATTGTCATATAGCCTTTACCATCACTCATCTCCAGAACTGAAACTCCATGTCCACCGAACTGTAGCTCTGCATTCCCTAGCATGCTTTGTTTTTTAAATTATGTGTATCTGAGAGGGACGTATATGCACAGGTACCCTAGGAGACTGGAGTTGTTAGCTCTCTCTGGAGCTGGAGTTACAGGCTGCCCAACTTGGGTGCTAGGAAGAGAACTCAGGTCCTCTACAAGTAGTACTTTCTCTTAACCACTGAGCCGTGACTCCGGCCCACACCCCAGCATCCTTTTTGAGATACTGGCAATCTGTTCAAGTTGGCACAAGAAGTGAGAATTGGGTACTGAAGCTTGGGATGGCAAAGGAAAGGGTATAGGGGCGTGGAAACAAAGGGAGGAATCAGAGAGCTGAGGTCCCAGGGATGCAGGAGGAGAATAGCCTGAAAATGCTTTCAACCGCATTACTGGCTGGTCCATGTCCTTGGAGCTGTGGTAAATATGGGGTAACCTCTGCCTCCCATTTTGTCTGAGGCATGAGGCTGGGTGGTTCAGATCATAGCATATTTACATAGATTTTTTTTTCCTCCACAACCTAGTACTGACAGAAAGTAGATTACGTGGAATTAGGTTTGGCATAGAAGCTGCCTACAAAATTTTGAGCTTCAAATGTGTGGGTGGGGATATTTGGCATAATCTGATTTACGAGAATATATTTAGTCATTTCTGGCTTGAAAGCCTAAAAAAAATGGCCACAGGGTTCACCAGGGTTCCTTCAGCTGTACTCTGAATTCCTGGAATGCCACCTCCAAGGTCACTGCAGGGCACTGTTTTAGGAGGATGTCCCTAGGAAAGGCAGCCCTTTGGTTGGACAGAAGTTAGTCCATACAACTCCTTGCTCAATGCGTGGCTCTGGACTAGTGAAGTGGATTGTAGAGCCTTGGCCAAGTCAGCATCAAACTTGCTGGCTACGCCATGGCCCCCGGGTGTGGTTTGTGATGATTTAGATCAGGGAAGGACCAAGTAGTGCCTTAAAAATAGAAACTGGGCCGGGCTGTGGTGGTGCACGCCTTTAGTCCCAGCACTTGGGAGGCAGAGGCAGGCGAATTTCTGAGTTTGAGGCCAGCCTGGTCTACAGAGTGAGTTCCAGGACAGCCCGGGCTACACAGAGAAACCCTGTCTCGAAAAAAAAAAAAAAAAAATAGAAACTGGTAGCTGTGCTTTCTGCTCTGTAATTTTGACTTTTTCAAGAACGTCCTCCAAACCAAAGGCGAGTCACAGTTAAGTGTGTTTGGGTTGAAGGATTTGGCTATGTTCTGTTCTCTGTTATACCTGTACATCACAGTTACTCTGTGAGGTTTACCTGGAGCCCTAGCAACTGTCCAGAGAAGGGTTCTGCAGCACTTCTAGGAAGCTGACTGCCCTAAAACCAGAAGAATGTGTGGATCTTCCTGGTTTTTATTGTTGTTGTGTTTTTGTTTTTGTCTTTTTTTTTCCACTTCTGTTTTACAGGTCCTACCCTTATAGTGGCAAATTCAGTTTTCAGGAACTTTGAACCAAACTGATTTAGATACATGCGACCTGACACTTGCCAGGGTTGGCTGAAGCTGCTGCTGCTTCAGTTCTACAGACGTATGGCCCAGCCTCTCTCTTTTTACATAACTCTTTATATCTTGTTTTACATTCCTGATTTGAGCACGTGAGCATTATGCTGAGTAAAGTAGCTGATTCTTTTGGGGCTTAGGAGGTCGTTACGGGCCCAGCAAGGAACTCACTACTGTTGTTTTGCTAAAGAACATGTTGTCAAATGTTCAGTGGGGGAAGATGTTCAGTAGAAATCTGTGCCTCTGTGGGAACTCAAGCACCTCGCAGGCTGTGGACCTGCCATGGAGGGGCGAGACGAAAGAGGCCTTTGGAGCCAGAGGCATCCTGAGGCCATGAAATGATGAGGGACAGAGCTGAAAACAGCTCTGCCTTCTTCAGCATCTAAGACCTTCCTCTGGCACAATGTCAAACATGATATTCACTAGTGTACCCACTAGGATGTACAGAGCCTGGTGCCAGTAGACTCTGAGCCTGGGCTTCTCTTTGTCTTTACTACTTTGGTACCCAAAGCATAGGCACTTTACCTCTTAGCTGCTTTCTGAGTAACCTTGGTGCCCTAAAAATGACTGCTCATTCGACTTCCTTCCTCCCTCCCTCCCTCCCTCCCTCCCTCCCTCCCTCCCTTCCTCCCTCCCTGCCTTCCTTCCTTCCTTCCTTCCTATAGAATATCTTTTATTTATTTATCTCCTGATAGTTTCATAAGCAATGCACCTCGGTCATGTGTACCACGTCCCCCAGACACCTGCAACCCCCTCCCTTCCGTTTCATGTCTTCTCCTTTTTGTGTAGTAATACGGAGTCCAGTTAGCGCTGCCAGTTGGAATCTTGATTGCTCTTGCTGACTTGATTGTGTGTGAATAACCACAGATGAGATGCGCTCATGAGCCGTGAGCAGTGGCCATTCCGTGTCCAACGGACAGCATTTCGCAGTCCTCCCTGTTCTCTGTTCCTCCTTTCTGCCCCTCTTCCTTGAGTTCCTTCAGCCTTGGTGACAGGGATGGATGCGGATGTCTCATGTGGGACCCATGATCAGTAGACACTCATTCTCAGCACTTTGACCAGTTTCGTGTCTGTATTAACTGCTGCCCACTACAGAGAGAAGCTTCTCTGGCTAAGGTTGAGGGCAGCACTGTCTGTGTGTATAAGCAATAGTCGTTTAGAAGGCAGTTTGACAACATCACTTTTTATCAGGTTTATGGTACCAAGTCTTAATTATTTTCTGTGGAGCAGGTCTGAAATCTAATCCAAAAGCAGCTGGTAGCCCCCATAACCTTCCCACCACTATTGCAACCATAGACACATTTTGCCTAGAAGGGTGGTTTTGTAGTCTGCAGGGTTGACTGTAGGGATATCTCTGATACCTGTCCCCCCTGCAGCAGCCGGTGTAACACCTCAACTTTCTTTCTAATGAACTCAAGCAGTTTCTCTTTACACTCCTCTCCAGCCTGTAGCTTTGTCCCGCCATTGTCTCATTTGACAAGAGAACAAAGAAAAGTTATAGAACTCTCACAAAACTGTCCTTAGTGTGGGCATCCCTTATTGGAAGATATGGTTTCATAGTGTTCCACTTAAGAATGATCAATATTACCCTCTTCACCTGATACTGTATCTCCAACTTTGAGTTCACAGACTGCTGTAGTTCTCAACAGTTATATTTTAAACATTTAAAGACACGCTAAGTGTTAGTGCAGCTGACATTTGCACAGTATCTCTATCGGGGTCGACTGGCTTCCACAATTCATCTCCACCTCTTCTTCCCTTCTCCCCTCCTGTGTCTCTCCCTGAAGGAGCCTGAGGTCAGCCCGGGAGCAGATCATCTTGGCACCATCCCCAGCCAAGGTCGCCATGGCAATGACTCAGCTTACCCAGGACAATGCAGACTTTGCTGCCCGGGATCGCTTCCACCACTCCTCCTTCCTGAGTCAGGAACAGCTGATGCCTCCCTACTAGGATCTTGCTACACCCCTCCTTTTAGCTGCTGTGGAGATGGGGGGCCCAAACCTCAGAACCTTCAGAAGTTGCTTCTACCAATAAGAAACCCCAAGACTGGTCTTCCCACCACAGCCTTGAACACTGAAAATCACATTCTGGTCTAAAGTGGCATGTCTAACCAGACACCATGTATGGCCATGGCTTCCATGTGTCCCAAACCTGAAGAGCGCACAGGCCACCAGGAGGATCAGGTGACACCAAGACAACCGAGTGTGGAGAACCAAAATGAGATTTCTTTTTCTAAGGGCCACAATAAACACTTCTTTTTAATTTTATTGTTTTATTTTTATTATTCATTTAAAGAATTATTTGTTTATGTATTCAAATACACTGTAGCTATTTTCAGACATGCCAGAAGAGGGCATCAGATCCCATTACAGATGGCTGTGAGCTACCATGTGGTTGCTGGGAATTGAACTCAAGACCTCTGGAAGAGCAGCCAGTGCTCTTAACCACTGAGTCATCTCTCCAGCCCCCTCTCCTGTTTTATTTATTTTTTAAAGTATACTACACTCACATGGTTCCAAGCCACAAAGTATAATCATATGCTGGGTAAAAACCTTCTCCTCCCTGGTTCTCATCTGCTTGGTGCCCATCCCCCATCACAGAGGCAACTACTTCTCACATGTACCGCAGCCACCTCAGCCACCTCATTACAGATGGGAAATGGGGTTCTCATTGTACCCCTTCCATCTGCAAATGCAGCTCTGTATGCACACACTCTGCAGCTTCCCTCTCTCCGTTTATCTACCGTGGAAGCATTTCCATGAAGATGCTAACACAGTTTCCTCATTATGTCTTGATGTCTCAGTGTGCCTTACTTTATGTACTCATCCTCATGTGACTGCATTTTGATTCGTTCTGATATTTTGCTATTACAGCCGCTTCTGCAATGAGTCATTATGTTTGTATACACGGTCGTGAAGGATACGTGCAGATAAATTCGCAGGAGAATGCAGGATGAGTGAGGATGTGCGTTTGTAAGCTGTTCCTGTTTGGGGAAATGTTTTTTAGTTAAAAAGTCAAATACCATGACCAGGCATGATAGTCACCTGGAATCCCATGACTTGAGAGATGGAGACAGGAGGATCAAAAGTTTGAAGCCAATCTGGGTTGTACAGTAAGATCCTAATCATGGGGTAGGGGGAGAAATTACTATGAATTGCCTAGCAGTATATCAAAAATATGCATAGTCTGACTCCCTGATACCTTTGTAGCTGTCTTGTGCCATGAATGGCAGGAGATGACAGGACTGTTGGTTCTCCTGTGAGCTAGATCTATCACAAGCATCTAGCAGTGGGGGCCAGGCCTCCTAGTAAGCTCAGCCCCTAACCCAGGCTCCAGTTCCACGGCTGAGCATAGAAGGATGGACTGCTGGCTGACTTTAGACTCTTCCATACATTCTCCTGAGACGCTGTGCTATCCTTTCCTGCCACACATGTTCAAAGTGACTCATCCAGGTTTTGGAAGAGTTGGGCTCCACATCTTTAACAATGCCACACACAAGTCAGTCCTGGGTATACTGTGGACACACTTTATAAAACACCTGTGTGTTGGATAGAGCAGTTTACAGGGGGTGAGGGCTGAGAAGGGCATGAGGGGTCGGCTAGGTCTTATAACCTTCTATTCTAGAAAACAAGCTAGTGATGGCTGGAAACAACCTAGCTTTGCTTAAGGAATAAACATCTAAGCACGTTTAGATACATACATTTAAAGAATTTGGACTTTGAGTTGAAAGCAACACCACAAAAGTGGCCAGCAAGATGGCCCATTGGGGTACATGCTGCCATGCCTGACCGCCTGAGTTCTAGCCCCAGAGGCCACAGGGTAGAAAGGGAGAACCAACTCCTACAAGTTGTCCTCTGACCTCCACAGGTGTGCTGTGATTTTTCAACACATACACACATATACACACACACACACAAACGCACACATACACGCAACTTTTAGAAGGAAACATGAAAAGACAGTCTGAGGGGATGGAGAAATGGCTTAGTGGTTAAGAACACTTACTACTCTTGCGGTGGACCCAGGTTCAGTTCCCAACACTCACATTGGAGAAATAGCTCAGTGGTCAGGAACACTTCTTTCTCTTCCAGAATACCCAGGCTCAATTCTCAGTGCCCATGTGGTATACTATAACTGTCTGTAACTCCATTTCTAGAGGATCAGAGGCTCTCTACTGGCCTCTACAGGCACCAGAGTATGTAGTATATAGCCATACATACAGGCAAAACATCAACACACATAAAATGAAATAAAATAAATAAAATAAAAGAAGACTGGGCCGGGCATGGTTTAATAACATCACTTAGAAGGTTGAGGTAGAAGGATGGTGAAATAAAGCCAACTATTCATGAAGGGCTCAGGGTGGCAATCCCTGAGGACTCACTTTGTTTTTTGTTTTGTTGGCAGGGTTTCAGTGTAGTGCAGGCTAGCCTGGAACTCACTATATAGCCCAAGCTAGCCTTAAACTAGTCTTCTGGCCTCAGCCTCCAGATCTGAAGGCGCTTTTAAAGAAGAAGCTGCATTCATGAAGTTTCCTATGGCTGCTGTAATTAGTCACACAGACCACGTGCCTTTAAAACAGCAGAAACACATTTTTTTCATGGCTCTGGAGTACAGAAGTCTCAAATCAGTCTTACTGAGTCAAACACGATGGTCAAGCATCGAAGCTGAATCCAAGAATCCACAACCATTGGGGGAGTTTGTTTTTGCCTTCTCTAGCTTTAGTGGCTGCCAGCCACCTGGGCTTGTGACCACATCTCTGTAATTCAAAGCCAACACCACAGGCCACAGCTGCCATGGCATTGTCTTCTGGGAACATATGAAGTCCATCTCCTCCTCTGTTTTCTAAGGAGGCATGTGATTATACAGAGGCCCAAGATAACCCAGAGCAGTAGAGCTCATCTTTTGCCTATCACAGAAGACCTTGAGTGCACCTGCTTTTGCTGTTTTGAAATCTGCACACCAGGCTAAAAGAGCAACCTCTTTGAAGAAGGTAGTGAGCTGGAATAGCCACAGCACTTGAATAGGATAATACCAAGGCCAAAAATAATACACAGAAGATTCCAGAAAGAGCATCTTCCAATGTGATCCATCTTACAGAGAAGAATCCGAGAGGACCAAGTCATAACAAAAATCAGCAACTGTACTGTGTCAGGGATTCCAAAATGAGCAGCTCAGTGTTGTGGGGCAGGGAGCAGGTGTTAAGCAGGTTGATGCTTACAAGCTACCACGTCAGTAAGGAGAGGCAGAAATGAGAAACTGGAGTCCATGTGGTAGAATATGTCACCTGGCACTTGGGGGATGGAGGTAGGAGGATTGTCTGGTTTAGGTGGTAGGACTGAGCCCTCGGCCTCATGTATGATAGGCAAGCAGTCTTCCCACTGAGCTACATCCCCAGCCTGACTTCCTATTGCTTCTGCAACACATTCAGTGGCTTGAAACAGCCAAGGTATGCTCTCTTACAGTCGTAGACATCAGAAGCCCAAATGGGTCTTGATGAAATAAGGTGATGGTGCAGGCAGAGCCCTGGTCGCTCTAGAACAGTAGTTCTCAACCTGTGGGTCATGACCCATTTGGCAACTGTATCACCAAAACTATTTAAATTATGATTCATAGCCGTAGCAAAATCACAGTTATGAAGTAACAATGAAATAATTTTGTGGTTGGGGTCACAACATGAAGAACTATATTAAAGGGTCCCAGCATTAGGAAGGTTGAGAACCACTGCTCTACAGACTCTAAGAGAGTTGATTGGTTTGATTCCTTTGGACTCTAGGAGCTGCCTTTATCCCATGGTGTTGTGCCTTCCATCTTTACCACAGCCGTCAGCAAGCACACTCTCTCCAGCCTCTGCTTCTCTGTTACACTCTTTTTCTGCCTCTCCTGCCTCCCCCTTCTGCTTTTTAGGGACCCTTGTGATTTACACAGGGCTTACCTAGTAACGCAGCATAATCTCTCCCACCTCAGAATTTGTAATTATATATACCCAGGTCCCTTCGTTATGTCAGTCCCATATCTAGAGTTCCTAGGGATGAGGATGAAGCCATCTTGGAGGGGTAACCTCTGCCTACCACATCCAATGTTGATGAGGAGAATAAAGCTTCACTTGGGAAATGGCTGAGTAAGTGCCCAAAGTACTCAGCAGACAGCCAAGCCACTTGCTGCTAGAGGGCCTCAAGAATATTGAGGAGACAAGGGAGGCAGAGGCCCAGATTCTGAAGTGAGTCTGAAACCATGTTGGTTAGAAGGTGTAGAAAGGGAGGCCGAGAGAGCTGGAGAGATGGCTCAGAGGTTAAAAGCACTGACTGCTCTTCTACAGGTCCTGAGTTCAATTCCCGGCAACCACATGGTGGCTCACAACCATCTGTAATGGGATCCGATGCCCTCTTCTGGTGTGTCTGAGGACAGTAACAATGTACTCATACACATAAAATTAATAAATCTTTGCCGGGTGGTGGTGGCACACGCCTTTAATCCCAGCACTTAGGAGGCAGAGGCAGGCAGATTTCTGAGTTCAAGAGTTCGAGGCTAGCCTGGTCTACAGAGTGAGTTCCAGGACAGCCAGGGTTACACAGAGAAACCCTGTTTCGAAAAACCAAAAAAAAAAAGAAGAAAGAAAGAAAGAAAGAAAGAAAGAAAGAAAGAAAGAAAGAAAGGGAGGCTGAGAAGGTGGCTTAGTGTGTAAGAGGATATGTTGTATGCAGGCATGAGCACCTGAGTTCAAGTTCTCCACAGTCACATTAAAAAACCAGGTGAAGCCTCACACACACATAGAAGTCTGTACACATACATGTGTGTGTATCACACATGTAGATATACTCCATACACACACAAATTTAAAACTTTAAATGATAACAAAAGAATGCAGTAACCTTAAAACAGAAAAGAAGATATGAAAAGACTTTGAAGCAAGGAACTAGGTCAACAGAAACAAATGAGACAATGGTCAGAGAAAGCAAGCTCACTTCAGTTCACCAACTGGTCTACCTCTTTTTTTTTAGGTGGGCTTACTGGTCTACCTCTTTCTTTTAGGTGGGCTTACTGGTCTACCTCTTTCCTTTAAGTGAGTTTACTAATGTGAACTTTATATTACCCTGCCCCTAATATATTTACTAGCTTTGTGACCTTGGGCATGCTTTTGTTCACATCTGTCTCTGTGAAATGGGAATGGAAATTCCTACCAGCTAGTGCATGGAGTTTTGAGTACTAAATGAAATGAGACTTTTATATAACCTATTTTTTGAGACGATAAAGATGGAGGAGTGGGTAGCAGTGTTGGGAGCCACCCCCACTAATTCTGTGTCAGTTACTGTGGGCAGCACGGGGAGAATAAAAACCTCACAAGAAGTGCAATGCTTCTTGGCCGTAGCTAGCCTGAAATTCCTGAGCCAAGTGGAGCCCTGCTGCTTTAGGAGGCCATGTGGCATTTTGTGAGCCACAGACCTAGCAGGACACCTTCTTTAGCCAACAGCAGATCTGGGGCATGTCCAAATCAGAGCAGGGAGAACCACAGAGCTCTGCCCTTGCTCAGCCTGTCAGATGTTTCTCCCTTTCTAGCCCCTGCAGCCCTCCCTCAGCCTTCTCTGTGCTCTGCCTATAGCCTTGAGAATTTTTCTTTCTTGTTCTTCTGGACCAGGGTGGGGTTCCAGAGCAAGCATCCCTCTCCTGAACTGCCTTAACCCCTCCTAGCCTCATCTCCTTGGGGTCCATGAGACAAGCCTGAGACAAGAGGCTTTGTGTGGTCTCTCATGCACTGCGGTTTCTCTGTGATGTTCACTCTCCCAGGAGCAGGGGTACAAAAAGAAATCTCACTAAAGCTTCCTAGCACTCTCATATCTTGGAAACATACTAGGGCTCCTTTAGGGATACTCACCAGCAAAAATAGTTGCTAGCTCATCAGCGGAGGCATGGAAGGCCCAAGCCCTTAACTCTTGCTGAGGTTTTCTTAGGAGAAGGTCATATCCAGATAAAAGAGCAGATAGCAAGGAAGAGCCTCCCCAGGGCCAGGGGTCCCCAGCTGACTG